GATTCTCAATCTCCATTACGACCAATCCCTTTCCCCCTATCCAATTGTGTATTTAAAATACGTGAAAACAGCGCAAAAGTTTATTAAAAAAAAATATGTTGTCAACATTTCAGTTTTTTTTTTATTTCTGGGACAATCTAATCACTTTTTATACCAAATACCTATCTACCTACCTACCTACTCGAATAACAATAAATAGATTGGTAAATATATAGGTATTTACATTCGGAATCAAGGACAAATTGCATTGAATATTGTGAATAACAATTTATTTTAACAGCGTAGATAATATGTTTACATATTTGTTAAAAATATAGAACAAAATATTATATATATATATATATATATATATATATATATATATATATATATATATATATATTTTGAAGTAGAATGGTAAACAAGCTGACGTCCCACCTGATGGAAAGTGGTAACCACCGCCTATAGACATGAGCAGTACCATGCACATAACAGAGTATACTGTTTCGCCCATGATACCACCCATGCGTTGTCACTCCTGAGGACTCAGGTGTTATTCCTCTGTACCCTGTAAATTCACTGCCATATCCCATCCTTCAAATGCCCACACCTCAAAACCTCAAAATAATGATAGGGACAATAACGGGCCATTGTTCATTAAACAAACATTTATACGGCTGCTCACGTAATCCTGGAATGTAAAGCTGTGGCCCATTTAGAAATCCTCGGAACGGTGAGGTCGCTCCATGAAGCCTGTAAGGTCCCAGGAAGCTTCTGTGCTTCTGGGCGAAAATGGAATGAAAATTCTGAAAATGGTATGGTAACCCTGCCTACGCTAATGGGATACGCTGGCGGAGCACCATTGAAGGGTGATAGATGAGAATGAAAACAGGCCAGTTAGCCCATCATGATGAATTCATCAGGAATTAACCATGATAACTTCCAGAGGGAACCGCGAGGAGGTGGACCTGGTTGGGTATATTGCTAGCAATGGAATTCTTAGTCTCCATTACTAACAATCCCTTTCCCTCCGCATAGATGGGAATACTGTTCCGTTCTCGCGCATTTAAAAAAAACCCCATATAGCAAATTTGATTCAAATCCATACAATTATCTTTAGAAACTATGACATTTATAATATTAATAGAATATTTATATATAAATTACTATTCTTTGTTTTATCATTATTTCTTTAAACAATGGGTTTACTATCAACTTATGTGCAAGTACAATAAATCTAATCTAATCTAACTATATGAAAAATAACATAACAATAGTATTTGTTCTTAAAAGTAAATATGGAGCTATTGATGGCCAGTCAGCATATTAGCTAATCATAAATTGTCTATGGCAAACTCTTTCAACTTTTTCTTTCAATGTGTGAGGACATCCAAGAACAAGGAATTACATAGAAGAAGTGATAAAATTGTCAATTCGTAGCAGGCTAGTGTATAGAAAATGTTATACGGCCGTATAACCCTACCAAATTCAGATACAACCTGCTTGCATACTTTCTACGTAAGCTGTGTCAAATATATAATTTAGTAATGTAAAATTTGTCATTGACAAATAATTGACATATCAAACATTTTCTATACACTAGCCTGTATTGAATTAAAAAAAAAAAGCAACTGATGGTGTATCTTTCTTCCTCTTTTTACTAATTATATTTGCATAAGAAGAAAGGCAACCATATGATTTACAGTTTTTATTTTATACTTCCTTCTATATAATTCCTTGTTTTTAGGTGACCATATACAAATGTGATAATCTATTTATGTTTGTTAGGAAACATCTGCAATACCCATCTATCCAAAGAGTGTTATTTCCTATAGTTTTCTTTCCTTCTCAAAGGTCGATTGTAAGAGATTCCTCTACGGAATAATTCCGCCATTGTATATTAAATCTTTTTTTATTATTTTTTTATTTAAATTATGTACAATAAAGATTTTACAATACAATATTCCTTGGTCAATACCTAGTCAATATTTTTAATATTTTTTTTTTATTTTGAAGAAGCATGCCATGTTATCATAGACAATCTATACCTACCAAAAATACTTTCTTTTTTTAACCAGTCATGTCTCATGTAGGAAATAATGCTCATTAAATAACTGGTCAAGCATTCATACTACACTATTATATACTGCTATGTTTTATTTTTAATGGACACTTTCTAAAATTAATGTTTCAATTGATACCATAGTGAAATATTTATTGTAAGGACTTTTAACCTTCTAATAAATTTAGTCAAAATTATCATATAATTATATAGTTTATGACGTTCACAAAATCGGACTTTTGCAAAACTAACAAATCACTTAAATTTTAGATATAGTTTTTTTTTTAATTATAGACAGAATGGTGCTACAGAATCGAAAACATTGCCATCTAAAGTCCGGTTAAATGAAAAACAATAACAGAACTTGTTTACAAACAACACAAATGTAAACAAAATGTCTCCCAATCAATAGGTACGTGTACCAGGAGAGCAGCGTAAACGAAGAGGCATCAACTACAGGTGTAAACCTACCGAATACGGAAGTCAATCCAAGCCGAACAAACAAAGGTTTGACAGCGTGCATTTAAAATAGTCGTCTAAACCCCGTTTGAATCACGTACGCTAGTCTCGACGCTGTAAATATGACGCAAATTAAATTTACAATTTAATAGGACTACGAGTTCAAAACACTGTTGTTAATAGGTAATTTGGTCCATGAATACACTTAGGGAATTTAAAAACAACATATGGACAAATAAACAAGCCAGATTTGCCGAAAATACAGCGACGATGCAGCCGATTACAAATTAAAAATGTATATAACTTAGTTTCTATCACTTGATACGCATTTAACACGTATGCACGCTCTATTAAGTCGATATCCTTGATAAAACGAGTAAACCGAGTTTCGTCATGCTTTGTTTTCTACACAGCATTGTTTATATTGACTTACCGCTCAAATCATCGAGAGTATTCAGCTTTCGCACGGCCATTTTGTGTAAAACACAAACACGACACTAATAAATCAAGATTCTTGATATTTTTTGCACTATAAAATTCAAATAATAGAACTTTTTAAATTGCAACAACGACACGACAACCTCGACATAAAATATGATCGCCTTTGTTTGTTTCTGTTTTGATTTTAATCCGCGTTGGAAAGGAGGCGGCGCTCAAATCGCCAAAGCACTGATATTTTTACTAAATGTAGATTTTATTATCTTGCAATTAAGTTTATTTTCCGTCTATCAAGTTCGACTGGTTAAGTTACGATCAATTCGACCAATAAGAAGCTGTTATTTAGATCTGTAAAGTGCACATTGGTTAATTCGTGAAAAACATGTTGCCATATTGAAACAATTATTTTTCTTGATAACACATTATTTTATAGTCTATGAATATTTCGATATGGGTGTCATTGACTTTCTACATCAAAGTACAAAGCAATAAGTTCTTTATATTTTTCATTACCCTTTCTTTTTACACCATACTTAGCTTACCTTTCTTTCATTATAACTAACTAGCCACCGACCCTCGTTTCGCATAGAGACTGTTTAATTTATATATTAAATTAATAATTTATTTAGATAAACAGAATATCTAATATTTGTAGGAGATAACAATAATCCTAAGCATAGAACTTTTAGCTCACATTACGGCATTTTTATTACTTTTAACATTTTAATGCCCTAAAAGTCAGCCATAAAAGTTCGATGGAGAGTTATTTTGAATAAAGAGAACGCTTAGAGTAGATATGTAAAAAATGTATAAATAAACATTAGCGTGGTAAAGGAAATAACTATAGAAGGAGTAAAAGAAAGTAGTCCAAGTATGATAAAACAGAAAAACTCTAAGACAGTATGAAATATCAATGAAAACAGAAATTGAAAGGTGATAAGGGATGTAAGTAGCTGACTTTGTTCTTCAAAAAGTTGTTACATGAAGGACAATCTTTAAAAAACTGTATATTAGTATACTGGTACCCATCTTCAAGCTGCTTCATGCTTCAACTACCATCACTATCAGGGGAACACAACTCATCCAGCATGAAATTATAGGAGAAAGATATAGCAAAACGCTTGCGAGAGAAGTATGATATATCTCAGAACTAATTCATTTTTATGTCTGGTCAAGGGACAACAAATTCCATTTTTATACTACACCAGCTGTATAAAAAGTAGCATTGTGTAAATAAGAACTCATATATGATACACGTTAACCTCAAAAAAGTACATGATCTGATACCCTATTTGGTTTTATGGTAGGCCTAAAAAGAGAAAGGAGTACCAGGGAATTATGTAGAGCTAATTCGCACTGTATACAGTGTCTGTATACAGTCAGACATACGTCATATCGTCGGCTGGTATCACTGATAGGTTCAATGTCGCGGTAAGCCTGCACCAGAGTTCTGCTCTAAGCTCTTATCGTTTCTTAATTAAAACGGATGCTCTAACATCAAACATGCAAGAGAAAATACCCTGGTGCATGTTTTTTGCCGATGAAATTGTTTTTATCAGGAAAGATAGACTTGAGGTCTAGAGTAGATTAGATAAATGGCAAAAGAAACTGGAGAATGTTGGCTTGAAAATCAGTAGAAGTAAAACAATGACTTGATACGCCTTTTTTTATTCTTTATTTAAGAGTTTCGTCTTGTCGGTGCAACTATTTCATTGTCTTTTAAAAAGATAATAAAGATAATAATTTTTTAAACTTGGCACACTTTATTAACAACTATTGAATTAATTTTATATTCTCTTGCTGATCTAACCTCAATAATACAGTATACTTTCATTGTAAAACATGTTGTAGGAATATATTTTTAATAAGATTTTGCAATGTCGTGCAAGGTCATCAATCAACTAAGAAATTACCTTGTATGGATTCACAAAAATATTTCTTTTAATATATATTTAAAAAATTTTAGTGCATTTTTTATTATTTCCTTTCTTTACTTAATAAAAAGGAAACACTATAATAGCAACACCGATACTTTTCGGCTGTCACTATTCTTCTACATTCTTTTTCTTTTGTCTATTCCTAATCGCGTAATCAAATCATTCACTTATATATTTTACTTAGGTTGAACTGCAAATTTTGTATCAAATAATCAATTTTAAACTGTCGCAATGGGTGATAAAAGTACCGAGGATGATCGTCCTGTGCTAGGAACTTCAGATGAACTCGACAGTCCTAGGTAATTGTTGAATTTTCTTTTAACATCAGTAATTTCAAATCACCTGGTCGTGTGACAGCTGATTCTACGCGGCAAAGTCAAAGGCGCCAAATCTTTTGCCGCGTTTGTTATAACTGTAAAATTGTGAAAATAATGAATGAAATATTAAAATAAGCGAACTAATTTACAGAAAACGTATGCGCTTGGACAATTCGGCTCGTAAAGGTTGGAGTTTAACTGATCGAAAGGCAGATCACGAGGTAATTTCGAATTTATTTTTTATTTCCCGCTATTTTGGTCTATCACTTTTTTGGTTAGAATTTTAAGTGTCCTAAAATCACTATGATTAACTTATGTAAACTTAAGTGACCATGGAAATATGGGAAATTTAGTGGCCTTTAATAGATATAGCTAATAATACACCAACAACTCCCAGAAGTGGACGACATTCTCCCTTTATACTGAAGGGTAGGGAATTATAAATAGCAGGGATTAGGAGCACAATTGCTAGTATGATGCCCTGTTAGATCTATAAAACGTTCATTACTGCAAGTGTCATAAAATAAAATTCTATATCCTTCCTTTTCCCATACACTAATATGTGTATACACCATAGTATATGGGAGACGGGAGTTAACATGATTATTTAAGTAAATTATGATGATTAACATCAGTTATCTCGACATATTGACCAAATTACACCGACCGTGGTCACAAGTAGACTGATGTAGTGTTATAATTCAGCTTTCAAGGTAGAAGTTTTTTGTTCTACCCACTTATTGTTATTACATTAAAGAAATTGTAACCAGGTCAAAACATCAAGATAATCCAATTAAATTATAATAGTTTACCTAAAGGGCCATGTTATGGGGAGAAATATTGTTAGTAATGGGGACGTTAATCCCCATTGCCAGCAATATATCCTATCAGGTCGACCTCTATGTGGTTCCCCCTGGAAATTATCATGATTAATTATTGTCAAATTTGATGGGCCAATTAACCTGGTTTCATCCTCACCTATCACCTCTCACTGGTGCCCCTTCAGTATATACCATTTCATTATCATCCATTAAAAAGAAAGTCCATTCGAATTCCCATCTCTTGTAAACCATAAACTATGTAATATAAAATCTTAAGTTAATATATATGATAAATTCCATAGTGATTGATTAAACAATTAAAGTTAGCTAAGAGTTAACAAACACACATACAATCTAATCTTATATATTCACAAAGTATAGTTACTTATACAGTAAACACTCTATAAGCAAACATTCTTTATATTTTATTTATTCTACTCAGCTTAGTTAGTAAAAGAAACAAGTGAAAATATTTTCCAGACGGTAAAATATTTTTATACTCCTCTAATTCCTGTAAGCAACTTTTTCCAATAAGAAACTTTATTGAAATCGGTTCAAATGAGTTGCTTATATAGAGCATTCACTGCATATTCACGTTAATATATGTATTATATCTCTATATTCATAGTATTTAAAATAATTAATTACAGTATAGTCAGTTTTCACGATTGCCTAATATTAATACTGATATTAACAGGACCTTAAACAAATTCAAATCCACTTTGTATACATACTTTAGTTTAATTTAATCGGCTTAATAACAGCACGGCGTGTATCATTGCACATATTTATAAATTATAAGTGTACAAATCTTTCAAATGCAAAGTGTTACTGTAGTCTAACTATTTGCTGTATAACTAGTATTGTAGTTTTTATAAATTTTCTTACTAATAATAATATATTATGTATACGATTATAATGTAGCCATATTATCATGTATTTTAAGTAGATATAAATGTATGCTTTGTTGGTTGTCCTTAAATAAATAAATAAATAAAATAAATAATGAACAGAGTTCCGTGCCCCCAGTTAAACTGTTTATAATTACTCCTCTCCATCCAAAGGTTGCCTGCAAGAGATCGCTCTTAGCGATAAGGTCGCCCATTGTTTTCTCACTGTGATTATTTCTTGTAATTGTTTATATTTATAATAAGTTTACTATTGTAATCTTATGGATGAAACAATAAACAGTATGTATTTATTTATACTTGTGTAATCATTAAAATATGTGTACAGGGCGGACTTAATGATAATAAATGGTCATGCGTTGAATATAACAAAAATAATACATTTTAAGGTAAATATACATATAAACACATAGAATAATATACTTATACAACATTTATAAATGCATATATATATATATATATATATATATATATATATATATTTATTTATTTATATAAGAAGCAACTAAGGGAGGGCGAGGGATGGGCAGCAATGTTCCTCTTAAAACATCTCTAAAAGCCTAACTTCAATTGCCAACCCGCCTGCCAAGCGTGGCAACTATTAGCAAAACTTCCCTTATTGCGAAGGCTTATGTCCAGCAGTGGACAGTTAACGGCTGAAATAATATGATAAGTCAACCAGCTGCAAACCTTGGCATACGCGAGCGTACACCAAAAGCGCAAACGCAAGTGCTTGGGAACTCAAACCCAATACATAGCACAAAAAAAAAACTATCTGAATTTGCACCTTTTTTGGCAGGTTCTACAAGAGATGGGTGTCAGTCTGCTAGATCCTGACGACTGTGAGGCGTCTGACGTGGCCAGTTTTGACAACTTGGTGAGTGGAATTGTGAACTTAATGCTTATATGGTGAACAAGTGCTTACGACTCTGTCTGTATCACTGGGATAATTTACCTATACCAACTTATATTCTTTATTTGCATAAATACAAGTTATTATGTTAATACAGTAATATAAAAAGTACTTGTTCCATTCTACCCATAAATTAATAGAAAAATACATGCACTTTATAATTCTTACTGAGTAAATTTACTAATATGGATATGGCGTGAATTTACTGGGTACAGAGGAATAACACCTGAGTCCCCAGGAATGGCAACGCATGGGGGGTATCATGGGCGAAACAGTATACTCTGTTATGTCCACGGTACTGCTCATGTCTATAGGCGACGGTTACCACTTTCCATCAGGTGGGCCGTCAGCTTGTTTGCCATTCTAAGTTGTATAAAAAAAAAAAATTGTAATTTAAATCGTTAACAATCCGTCAACAAAAATGAATAATTTTTTCTATTCACTCCCACAATAAAGCGATAACTTAACTATGAACATTTACTTACAGTTTATCGCAGCTATGTAGGTACCAAACTTTGTCATCATTTCCTATTCTTATCCCAATTATTATTTGGGGTCGGCGTAATATGTTTTTATTCATATAATTTTATTCATGCGGTCAAACTGAAAACGGTCCTTAGAAAAAAAAAACTGATTAAATTTGCAAGTTTTTACCTTTATTTTAACTTTTCAAAATAGTGTCCATTCACGTCAATACATCGCTGCATCCGATAGAACCACTGAGAAAAGCACTTTGCCCACTCGTTCTTAGGGATTCTCTTCGATGGCCTTCTGAAACGTACCCACAGCTTCCTCGGCGACCATAAAACGTTTTCCTCGAAGTTTTTCTTTTATTTTTCGGGATAAATAAAAATCGCAAGGTGCGAGGTCGGGGCTATAAGGCGGATGACCCAGTAGTTCTACGTCTGAGGTCGCCAAATAATCGATCGTTTGCCTGTTTGGCGGTGTGCGACGAAGCATTGTCGTGGTGAAGGAGGATCCTACTGCGAGGTCGTTTCTCACGCACTTTTTCCAAAACACGTGGCAAACAATTGTTACTGTACCACTCTGCGGTAACTGTTTTTCGATCCACTAAAACAATTGTCGCGTAATGACCTGTCCTTCCAAAGAACGAGACCACCATCTTTTTTCCCACGCTCCGATCTCTCTTCACCCCTTACCTTTGCCATTTCTGAGCTTTCATCCTCATCTGTCATCTATCACTGGTGCCCAGCGAAACTCCATTAAAACCACTCTCTACGAGGGGGATGGGATTGTTAGTAATGGGGTCTAACAGCCCCACTGTTACCATAAAGACTCAAAATACCCTATCAGGTCGACCTCCGTGCGGTTCCCCCTGGATATCATCATGGTTAATTCTTATAAAATTCGCCACGATGGGCTAACGGACCTGCTTTCATCCTCAACTGCCATCTATCACTGGTGCCCCGCTAGTGTATACCGTTAGCGCAGGCGGGGTCACCATTCCATTGTCATCCATTGAAAAAAACTGCTCTGACTGTGACAATTTAGGTTCTAAAGCGTGTAAGAATGAATTCCCTGACGATGTCAGTAAGAGTGGTCTGATCATCATAACTCTACCATCAACAGCATCAACACAAAGCGCAGAAGAGGAAACGAGATATTGAGAATGTTAACCCCAACGTGAACTCAATGTCTCCGAGGAAACACAGCCCCAAAAGCCCCAGGGTCAAGGTGAAGGTCTGCAGCCCCAGTCCAGGGCCCTCGAGGATTAGGAGTCCGAGGAGTTTGGAGAAAGGTGAGTTTTAAATCATTTTTGTATATATTTTACTTTGAACACGTGATAGGTTTTTCACAATACTTAGAATGGCAAACAAGCTGACGGCTCGCCTGATGGTAAGTGGTAACCGTCGTGTATAGACGTGAATAGTAATATGGACATAACAGAGTATACTGTTTCGTCCATGATACCCCCTTACCGTTGCCATTTCTGAGGACTCAGGTGTTATGCCTCTGTACTCTGTAAATTCATTGCTATTTTTTTTTATACAACTTAGAATGGCAAACAAGCTGATGGCCCACCTGATGGAAAGTGCTAACCGTCGCCTATAGACATGAGCAGTACCATGGACATAACAGGGTATACTGTTTCGCTCATTTATGAAATGTATATTTTTTTATCATTCTATTATGGGTCACATACATATTGTGCTTCCAGTGAAACTTGTCCAGCATACAGACCTGGAGACCTCGTTGATAGACGAGTTCCTCGCGGAGGAGGAGACCCCGCTCGCTCAGTCGGTGACGGCCAAGTACGGAGACATACCGCATAGTGTGGGCTTCGGTGCCGGCAGCGCCACCGGCGGCAAGAAGACGGCGCGGCTCACCCGTGAGTTAGACCTGTATTATTGCCTATTTCCGAGGGGACAGGGTTTTCTTTTATGGGTGAAAATGGTATGGTAACACTGCCTGCGCTAACGGGATACGCTGACGGTGCACCAGTGAAGGGTGATAGATGAGAATGAAAACAGGCCAGTTAGCCCATCGTGATGAATTCATCAGGAATTAACCATGTTAGTTTCCAGGGAGAACTGCGAGGAGGTGGACCTGGTTGGGTATATTGCTAGCAATGGGATTTATTTATTTATTTATGCTTTATTGACCACATTACAAAAAAAAAATGTCTGGTACAAAAGGCGGACTTAATACTATATATGTTAGCATTCTCTCCCAGTCAACATTTTTTCAGTCTCCATTCTCAGTCATCACAAAAAAAAACCGTCAATGCAGTGGGCAAATGCTTATGTCAATATTTCCTTTGTTACAGCATTAGGCTTGGAAGAGGAGCTGATAATGACCAGACGTACAAAATGCGAGCCCCTGGGCGCTGACTCGTTCGACGTACTCTCCGATGAGATGATACTCAGCGTCTTCAAATGGCTCCCGAAGCGGACGTTAGCCAATTGCATGCTGGTCTGCAAGAGGTACTTCACAGGCTTTTGTTTAAAAACGTGCATCCTGGCATAGAATGGGCCATCCCTTTTCCATGGGTATTGTAAAAAGTTGGCAGGTTTTTTTTTAATGGATGATTATAGAATGATGACCCCGCCTGTGCTATCGCTATACACTGGTGGGGCACCATTGAGGGATAGCACGTAGATAGATGCATAGATAGATGGTGAAGAGGCGGGTCAGTTAGCCCATCGTGACAAATTTAACAATAAATTAGTCACGATAGTTTCCAGAGGGAACCGCGTGCAGGTCGACCTGGTAGGGTATATTGATAGCGATGGGGACCAACCTCCCCATTACTAACAATCCCTTCCCCCCAGGTTGGCAGGTTGGGAACCGCAGTGAGGGTTTGGTGATGTTTAAATAGGAACGCTGCTGCCCATTCCACAACTGCTAAGATTAATCTTATACATTGGTAAATTATTTTTATTTATTTATTTATTCATTAGTACATATATGTGTACATGGCGGACTTAATGCTAGAAGCATTCTCTCCCAGTCAACCATAGGCAAGTGTCAGAATACTCGAATGAGGTACTAGTAATTATTGACATATGACATACATACTAAAATTACATATATAAACGAATAAATATATATAAATAACAAATATACTTACACATATATGACATATACTATATTATACGCGAAATTGAGAATAATATAAAGTACTTACTGCTCGGATAAAGTAAAAAATTGAGCGTGAACGTTTTTTTTTAAAATAACAATATATATAATACGTATAGATACAAGACAAGACAACCATTTGAATAGAAACAAAAACCGTGTAAAAAAATAATATCAACATATATATGTGGCCAGACTTAAATTTACATCATGGCCACAAAGAAGTTTCAACACCAACTGTTATCGTTATGTCACAATGACCACTTTTTAAAATGTTGTAAAAATGTCCAACCGTGCGAAGCCGGGACGGGCCGCTAGTACAATATAAGAGAATAAATACAAACAATGTGATAAATTATTACTATATCGGGTAAAATATATTTAAAACTATTCGCCAATTTGGAAATTTTGCCTCCAATTTACTTTAATTGCATTATAATCAACGAAAACCACAGTTTCGATTCTAACGCCATCTAGTATTACGTGTTCAATTTAGTTTAATGACCAACCACATTAATGGGTTTTTTTTATGGGTGAAAACGGTATGGTAACCCCGCCTGCGCTAACGGGATACGCTGGCGGAGCACCAGTGAAGGGTGATAGAGGAGAATGAAAACAGGCCAGTTAGCACATCGTGATGAATTCATCAGGAATTAACCATGATAGTTTCCAGGGGGAACCGCGAGGAGGTTGACCTGGTTGGGTATATTGCTAGCAATAGGATTCTCAGTCTCCATTACTAATAATCCCTTTCCCCCCACAATAATGGATTATAAAAGCTTGTTTTTAATTTTTTTTTAATAAGATTTAATTTTTTATCTGTTCCCAGGTGGTACAGACTGGCGTGCGACGAAACGTTATGGCAACGGTTGGACTTGGGCAATAAAACATTGTCCAAAGATGCGTTGGGCAGGATTCTAGCGAGGAAACCCGTGGTAGTTAGGCTAGCTAGTTCAGAGGTAAGTTGCTGTATCATTCGTTAGCTGTCCACTGTTGAACGAAGCTTCTCCTATAAGGTAGGGTTTTGCCAGTACTTGCCACGTTTAGCAAGAAGGTTGCCAACCGCAGTTGGATTTTTGGTGATGTTCTATAATAGGGACATAGCGAGGGTAAAGGGATTGTTAGTAATGGAGACTGAGAATCCCATTGCTAGAAATATACCCAACCAGGTCGACCTCCTCGCGGTTCCCCCTGGAAACTACCATAGTTAATTCCTGATGAATTCATCATGACGGGCTAACTGGCCTGTTTTCATTCTCATCTATCACCCTTCACTGGTGCTCCGCCAGCGTATCCCGTTAGCGCAGGCGGGGATACCATATCATTTTCATCCAATAACAAAAAAACTAAAATATATAAATATTGCTATATATAATATTACCCACACCTAAGTATGAAAGCGGTGGGGACAAGGGATTGTTAGTAATGGGGATTAGTAGCCCCATTGCTAGCAATACACCCTGTCAGGTCGACCTCCTCGTGGTTCCCCCTGGAAACCATCGTGATTGATTTATTGTTAGTTTCGTCACGGTGGGCTAACTGACCTGCTTCATCCTCACCTATCATCTGTCACTGGTGCCCCGCCGGTGTATATCGATAGCGTAGGCGGGGTTACCATTCTATTATCATCCATTAAAAAATAAAAAAGTATGAAAGCGAGTAAGTAAGAGGGAGTCAGTGGATGCAGGTGTCTCAGGACCGTTCTTTATGGTAGTCTATGGGGGAGGCTTATGTCCAGCAGTGGACGGATAATGGCTTAATGATGATGAAGTATGGAGGCACGAGGACAAACCATAGTAGACAGCTGGTTGCTTACATTTCTATTGTTACTCTCTTTGCAGATTGGTGAATGGCTTACCAGTACACCGACACCGTCTCGCATACAGTACTTGGATCTGAGCATATGCACGATAGACTTAGACACGTTAGACAGTCTAATGGCGTGCTGTCCGGCGCTCAGGAAGTTGTCCCTGGAGAACGTACAGCTTAGAGACACCACATGTGAACTTATTGGTAAGCGATTACCATGTTTTTAACTCTTCTCGATCGATTTCAAAAAAGGAGAATTCGATAAAGTCTCGATTCGGTGTATTTAACTTACTTCAAAAAGATTGTTCTCAAATTTGTTTGTAATTTTTTTTATGTATTTTTTTTTTATACAACTTAGAATGGCAAACAAGCTGACGGCCCACCTGATGGAAAGTGGTAACCGTCGCCTATAGACATGAGCAGTACCATGGACATAACAGAGTATACTGTTTCATCCATGATATCCCCTATGCGTTGCCATTCCTGAGGAAGGAAGGTGGTAAACAAGCATACAGCCGAACTGGTGGTAAATGGTTACTCTAGCCTATGGACGCCTGTAACACTAGAGGTGTTTTTAGGACTGCTGGACACAGGTCTCCTACATAGTTATGGAGTTTAGCGCTCTATAATATTTGTTTTTTTTTTTTTTATTACAGGTAAATGTAAAAATTTGGAGACACTAAATTTGACGATGGCACAAGGCATCACGGCAGAGGGTCTCAGCTATATACTGAATGGATGCCAAAAGTAAGTTTTTTTTTTATACCTCAAAAGTGGCAAGCAAGCATACAGCCCTGACAGTCTGATCGTAAACGGTCACTGTAGCCTATGGACGCCTGCAACACTAGGCGTGTCACGTGCACGTTGACGACCCTGAAGGAACTTTTTAATATGCCCATTTTGAAGTCTAAGTTTACCAGAAGGAGACTTTGTACAAAAGTCGATTGCTTAGGAACCTCTGTCTCATTCGTGTTTCTACCGTGAAGCAGCCGTGTTTGCATGGCTGTTTCGGTTTGAAGGGTGGGATATGGCGTGAATTTACTGGGTGCAGAGGTATAACACCTGAGTTCTCAGGAATGGCAACGCATAGGGGGTATCATGGGCGAAACAGTATACTCTGTTATGTCCATGGTACTGCTCATATGTATAGGCGACGGTTACCACTTTCCATCAGGTGGTCCGTCAGCTTGTTTGCCATTCTAAGTAGTAAAAAAAAAACTCATTTAAAAAAAATGCATCATTATTTAATAAAAAAAAAAATCTCATTTACAGTATGCTGTCGTTAAATTTGTCGTGGTGCGGCCTAACTAAGGCGGCGCTGGCTGAACTGCTGGGTCCTGATGAGGAGGAAGACCCCGAAGACTCAAGTTCCGAAGTGTGCAGGGTCCAGCCTGACAAAGTCCTACCGCGGCTCCAGCGACTCAGTCTCGCAGGCGCTAGAGTACTCTCTGATGACAGTAAGTATTGCTTATGCGTATCTACTTAGAGGCTGTTTTGACGCCGAAGAAACGGCTGCTCACGTAATCCTGGAATGTGTCCGTGGCTCCTCAATGTTCAGAAATCCTCGGAACAGTGAAGTCGCTCCGTGAGGCCTGTGAAAGTGGACCGTCAGCTTGTTTGCCATTCTAAGTTGTATAAAAAAAGTTTTATATTTGATTACAATAAACTAAACTTATTATAAATATAAATAATTACAAGAAATAATCACAATGAGACAACAATGGGCGACCTTATCGCTAAGAGCGATCTCTTCCAGGCAAAAAAAAAATACAAACGAAAATAGAACCTCCTTCTTTTTAAGTGGGTTGATTATAAATTAACCCTTATGTTGTCTTCGTGCATTTACAGTGATACACCGACTGACGCAGCGTTTCCCACATCTGCTCGAGCTGGACCTGTCAGACTGTGCTGCACTGAGCAGCAAGGCAGTACACTATCTACACATGCTGCCTCGACTACATCACCTCGCGCTCAGCCGGTGCTACCTACTGCCTCAGGCGCTGCCGTGAGTTATTACCATCGTTTTCATACCAGCTCTTAACTGGCCACTTCTGAACATAGGCTTCCTCCTATTTAGAAGGCTTTGCGAGCAGTTGCCAACCTTGGCAGGTGGGTTTGCAACTGCGGTTTGACTGTGGTGATGTTTTAAGATGGACGCTGCTGCCCGTCCCTCGAGCGTTAAGTTCCCACGCCTCTAACGACACTTACAGGAGAGTAAGGGGTGATTGTATTTGACTTCCTATATTCCAATATATATGTAGTGCAATATCTATATATTGCAATACCTATATATTACAATGTCTGTATATAGCAATATCTATATATTGCAGTATCTATATATTACAACGTCTATATATTCCAATATATATGTACTGCAATATCTATATATTCCAATATATATGTACTGCAATATCTATATATTGCAATACCTATATATTACAATGTCTATATATTGCAATACCTATATATTACAATGTCTATATACTGCAATACCTATATATTACAATGTCTATATATTGCAATACCTATATATTACAATGTCTATATTTTGCAGTATCTATATATTACAATGTCTATATATTCCAATATATATGTACTGCAATATCTGTATATTGCAATACCTATATATTACAATGTCTATATATTGCAATACCTATATATTACAATGTCTATATATTGCAATACCTATATATTACAAAGTCTATATATTGCAGTATCTATATATTACAATGTCGCTATATTCCAATATATATGTACTGCACTATCTATATATTGCAATACCTATATATTACACTGTCTATATATTGCAGTATCTATAAGGTTGAATTTCGACCGCTGGGCGGTCACTAGTTGTAATAATAATATAAGTATTGTGTATTGTGTTTGTCTATGGTATATGGTAAGCAAGTAATTTTTTTTTTTTTTTTCACAGCAAAGTAGTGAACATGCCAGCATTACAGTTTCTGGATGTATGGGGCATGCTGCCCAGCAAATCGCTGAATGCGCTTAAAGAAGCCATGCCCTCCATACAGATCAATCAATTTATGTTCAGGTCGGTGTTTTGTATTTTCTTTTTTTTTTTTTTATCTAAGTCAGAATGGCAAACAAGCTGACGGCCCACCTGATGGGAAGCGGTACCCGTCGCCTATAGACATGAGCAGTACCTTGGACATAACAGAGTATACTGTTTCGCCCATGATACCCCCATGAATAGAATAGAATAGAATAGAATAGAAATCATTTATTCAAATAAACTTACATTGAAGCACTTTTGAAAAGTCATTACATTTTTTTTAATTTACCGCTCGTTCGGAAAGCTGTCTCATCACAAGAAGAACGAGCAAGAAACTTGCGTGATGCTCTTTTAAATAATTTTATTATTATTTTACATTTTTAAGTTTAATTGTGTGAATACAAACCACCAATTAGCACTAATTCAATTAAATACTCAAAAAGAAAAAAAAATTGAATACATAACCAACTGGTTAAACAATTAATAAGAGGAAATCAGTCATAGTGATTAGAGCAGACCAGTCCCTACAAGCAGCACCCGTTCACGAGTATGACGGATGAGCCAGCCATCACTGCGCTCGACCATATTTTAGGGAGCCCAATGACCCGGCCCACCACGCCGCCACAAGTCTGGACATTTTAGTGAGCATGACTACTCAAAACACTAGACCACGTCAAAGCTACTCACAATTGCCATCTGATAGTTATAGTATTCACATTTTACATAAGAATGCATGCGGCAATTAATACAAAAAACCGCTACGCTTTCATATTTCTAAAATTAATCAATTAAATCAAGAAAGCAATGAGAAAATAAAATTATAACGTTGTATGCTAATAAACTAATTATTTACTTGATATGTTGTCATCTATGAATTCGTCTATCCTGTAATAGGCTTTCTTACATAAAAATTGTTTAATATAAGATTTGAATTGCCTCTCTGTCAGATTTAATGCAGATTCCGGCAGTTTATTATAAAATCTTATGCAATTACCATAGAATGAATTACTGATTTTGTGCAGACGGCATTTAGGTAAAATAAGCTTATTTATATTGCGTAAGTTTCTACTTGTACAGTCTTTGAGTTTTTTAAAACTCGCTAAGTTCTTCCGTGTATACATAATATTTTCATAAATGTATTGTGAAGTAACTGTGAGGATATTTGAGTCTTTAAAGCACTGACGTAATGACTCTCTTGAACCCATACCATAAATAGAACGTATGGCTCTCTTTTGTAAAACAAATATAGTATTTATATCGGCTGCTTTACCCCACAGCAGTATGCCATAAGACATTATGCTATGGAAATAACTAAAATATACAAGTTTAGCCGTCGCCACGTCTGTTAATTGCCTAATTCTTCTAATTGCATATGCAGCAGAACTGAGTCTACTGGCCAATTTTGAAATATAGGGCCCCCATTGTAATTTCGAGTCCACATGCGTTGTCATTCCTGAGGACTCAGGTGTTATTCCTCTGTACCCAGTAAATTCACGCCATATCCTACTCTTTAAACCGAAACAGCCATGCAAACACAATTGTCTCGCAGTAGAACCACGAATGGGGCCAAAGTAGACGACTTTTGTACAGTTTCCCCTCTGGTAGTTTCTCCATAGCTTCATCACCATCATTATATCACCTGTTCTCTGTCCACTGTTGAACATAAGCCTCCCCCATAGACTCCCATAAGGAACAGTCTCCATCCATCTCTATTTGCAGTCACCTTAATAGTGACTCTCTGGCCATTTTAACTATTATAGTGTAGGGGAGAAAGGGATTGTTAGTAATTCGGACTACCAGTCCCATTGCTAGGATTATAACCTGTCAGATCGACCTCCACGTGGTCCCTACTATAAAACCATCGTGTTGAATTCCAGATGTAAGCATCACGATGGGCTAACTGACCTGCTTCATCCCTCACCTATCATTCTTCACTGGTGCCCGCCGGTGTATACCGATAGCGCGGGTGGGGTTACCATTACATTATCATCAATTAAAAAAAACCGTTATAGTGCTGTTACTTCCTTTCAAATTGAGAATTAAGCACAAAAGAAAGAGACAAAACAGTTCAATAGTAAAAATAGGTTTCTGGGATGTTTTGGCGTTTATATGTATGTATTTTGTTTTTATACAACTTAGAATGGCAAACAAGCTGACGGCCCACCTGATGGAAAGTGGTAACCGTCGCCTTTAGACATGAGCAGTACCATGGACATAACAGAGTGTACTGTTTCGCCCATGATACCCCCCATGCGTTGCCATTCCTGAGGACCTGGTTTTACTTTTAGTTGACTGTAAGAGATTCCCCTATGGGATAAGTCCGCCATTTTATGTTAAATCTTTTAATATATTCAGTATGAATTATGTGCAGTAAATATTTTACAATACTTTTTTTTTATTTCAGCGCGATAGCCCGACCGACCGTCGGCCAACGGCGAACGTCGATATGGGGACTCCGGACAAGAGACTGATTGTAGTGTAAAGTTAATTAAATTATTCAATTTAGATTGTAAATATTTATGTCCCAATTGAGAGTTACATGAAGTATGATGCCGGTGCGACTAGTCGCAAAGTCGCACGACTAGTCGCGCACTCGTTAAAGTCGCAGCTACGTTTTATGTGGCGTGAGCGTTTGTTGAGAATATTGAGAATGAACGCACTTTGTAATAGGTGTGGGTAATATCTATATATTGCAATATCTATATATTACAATATCTATATTTTTTTAATATTCGTGTGTTGCAATATCTATATATTACAATAAGTATATTATATCTATATATTAAATATCTATCTAGTACCTATATATTGCAATACTTATATAGCGCAATATCTGTATTCTGCAATGTCTATATTGTACAATATCTATATATTGCAGTACCTATATATTCCAATTACTATATTATGATATCTATATATTACAATATCTATATATTGGATCACTAACGAATATGTTAAAAGTCTTAAAAAATAATATAAAATACCAGACCTTTAACATATTCGTAAATAGATATCCGACCGATATGGGCGATATCGAAATGATTGATGATTTCCCGCCATCAAAGTCCAGAGAGACCCAATATATAGATATCAGATCGGCATCCATGTTACCCATGCCTACTTGTGATCGCGTACAGTATAAATGAAGCAGATTAACAGCGAATAAAAGAAATCCTGAATCAAATTGTAACATTTTTTTTTTTTTATATTTTGTAATATTTGAAAATTGTATCAGAGAAAAGAATTTTTATTTAAGTAGTAAATTTTAAGTGTTTTATAATTTTTTTTTTTTTATATAATATAATTGAAATTTAAACATTTGGAATGCATTTACTGTTCTGTTTACTGAGACTTTGTACAAAAGTCGTTTGCTTGACTACCTCTGTCCCATTCGTTTTTCTACCGTGAAGCAGACGAAGAATTTATTTATTTAATTATTCATTTATTTATTTATTATTTATTTATTTATTATTTATTTATTTATTTATTTGTATGGAGACACTCTATATAATCTATTGTTAAGAAAGAATTACATAAATACTCTTTTTTTCATACAACTTAGAATGGCAAACAAGCTGACGGCCCACCTGATGGAAAGTGATAACCGTCGCCTATAGACACGAGCAGTACCGTGGACATAACAGAGTATACTGTTTCGCCCATGATACCCCCCATGCGTTGCCATTCCTGAGGACTCAGGTGTTATTCTTCTGTACCCTGTAAATTCACGCCATATTCCACCCTTCAAATCGAAACACAGCCATGCAAACACAACTGCTTCACGGTTAAATCACGAATGAGACAGAGGTACCCAAGCAATCGACTTTTGTACAAAGTCTCCCTCTGGTTATACCTGACCTGCTTTTTATGCTTATCTATCATCCCTTACTGGTCCCCTACCTTTCTATACCGTTAGCGCAGACAGGGTTACCATTCCATTATCACCAATAAAAGAAAGACCACTGCTAGACATAAGCTTGCTGCCTAAAGTGAGCTCTGCCAGGAAGTAGCCACCTTTGACAGGCGGGTTAGCAACCGAAGTTAGGCTTTGGTGATGTCGAAAATGCGGGTAGTTCAGGACCATTCTTTATAGCAGTCTTAGGAAAAGGCCTATGATAATGATAATGACTTATAAGATGTTTCAAGAGAAATTCTGCCGTCCAGCTCTCGACCATAAAGTTCTCTTAGTCGCCTCTTACGACACCCACGGGAAAGGCAGGGGTGGTCCATTCTATTCCGGGACCACGGTGAACGCCGACACGCCAATACTGTTTAATAAAAAACAGAAAAACATGCTTGATATGAACACTGAAAATATAGTTTTATTTCAATATAATTTAATCATAATGTAAACAAACCAACAAGCGCCCCGGCCGTGAACCAGTCCGCCGCTGTCCAACTGTAGTACGAATCAAACGTGGATCGATTGGACGTTACAATTCGTGACTGATTACATTCAGAGAGTGTTCCCGGGGTTAGCTTTTTAGTAAATTCTGTTGAAATATATCAAACAAATGTTATTGATTGATATTAAATATGTATGTTATATATGTATATCATCATCATCATCTTCCTACCCTTATTCCAATCATTTGGGGTCGGCGTAATATGATTTTATCCATGTTACAAAAATATTTGTTTTTTTTTTAGTTTTACGACCGGCCACTTGCCTTACGTCAACCCTCTTTGGGAATGTATATATATATATATATATATATATATATATATATTATATGTGTGTGTAGTCAAGAATGAAATATGCAGTATTTCGATATATCTTAACTTGTGCTTTTTTAATTTTTTCGCGCACAATACGTCTTTTCTTTTTTGTTTTAGTACGTTTGTTCCGTCATGGAACAGGCTAAGGTTGAAGACCATGGTACTTTCAGTATAATTTGTCTGGAATCAATTCGTCTTTCACGCACCGCATGTTGTTCGTCTTATATATATATCTTCTGTCTTTTTCGCTCCTCACCTTTCACTCTTCGATCAGTTCCATTTCATGCAAACAAGCATACGGCCCACCTGATGGTAAGTGGTTACCGTAGCCTATGAACACCTGCAACACCAGAGGTATTACGCGTGCGTTGCCGACCCTAAAGAAACCTCTTTACCCCCATTTTGAAGAACCCCATGCTGTAGTCTCTTGGGAAAACCTCGGCAGGGAGCTCATTCCACAACCTGAGTGTTCGTGGGAGGAAACATCTCTGAAACCGCGCAGTACGCGATATACTATATAATACATATATATATATATATATATATATATATATATATATATATATATATATATATATATATATATATATATATATATATATATATATATATATATATATATATATATATATATATGTATATATATATATATATATATATATATATATATATATATATATATATATATATATATATATATATATATATATATATATGTGATGTTTGTCTATAAAACGTAATTTTCTACGTCATTTGTAATTCAAATCAAATGTTTATTAATTAAAGATTTTATATTTAAATATATTTGTGTATCATTTCTTTACTGGGAACCTTATTTAGAGATTTATCGAGCAAGAATGAATGGAGATGTCGGTAGGGGCCGCTTTAGACGGACGTATGTTGACCAAACAGGTGACGTACTGAAGAAGGGCCAAATTAAAAGTACCCGTAACCGGCGAGCGTGTATGAAAAGATTGATGAATGTAGAGGAAGCGAAAGAGGTCTGTTTGAATCGAAGCATTTGGCGTTCCATTGTTTCTGCCTACCCTAATGGGAGACACGCGTGACAGATATGTATGTATGTATAATACTAATGTTATTGTATCAAAACGATGTTTCTATATGGGAGATTATCAACATATCAGGCTCCTTTTGCCAGTACTTATCACGCTTGGCAGGCCGATTGGTAACCGCAGTTAGGTTTTGGAGATGTTTTAAGAGGGACGCTGCTGCCCATCCTTTGTTCTCCCTTAGTCGCCTTGTACGACATTCACGGGAAAGGAAAGAGTGACATGTGTTATATATATATATATATATATATATATATATATGTTGCAGTCAAAACAAAAGTGGTTTTGACTGAAAATTATTAGTTATTAATACTTTTGACAGCAAATTTGCGGTTAGATTAGGTTTTTTTTTTGATGGGTGAAAATGGTATGGTAACCCCACCCGCGCTATCGGTATACACCGGCGGGTCACCAGTGAGGGATGATAGGTGAGGATGAAGCAGGTCAGTTAGCCCACCATGACGAATCTTTTTATATTTTTCGATAGTTTCCAGGAAGAACCGCGAGGAGGTCGACCTGGTTGGGTATATTGCTAGCAATGGGATTCTGTCTCCATTACTAACAATCCCTTTCCCGCCGCAAATTTGCGGTTAGGTTAGGTTTATTAATGGGTGATAATGGTATGGTAACCCAATCTGCGCTATTGGTATACACTGGCGGAACACCAGTGAGGGATGACAGATGAATATGAATGAATGTGAATAGGTCTGTTAGCTGTTGTGACGAATTAAACTAGAATTAGTCACGATGGTTGCCAGGGGGAACCACGTGGAGGTCGAGCTGACAGGGTACATTGCTAGTAATAGGGCTATTTGACCCCATTACTAACAATCCCTTTCCCCCCCCGGTTAGGTTAGGTACTTTCAACTGTTATTTTAGTCAACTTTTGACTGGTTAAGAGTTTCGACTGCAACATATATAAGATTAGGCGAAGAGAAGATTTAAAAATAATACAGTCAAATCTTTCTATATTCATATATCTATTTAAATGTCCTTTTAGCTTTTTGTTCTGCCGCGTCACTAGCTTCTACAAATGTCCTCTTTAGTTTGTTCTTCCTGCTTTCCCTGTATTTTGCCGAGACTTTTTCTGACAGTTTCGCTATCCGCTTCATTGTCTGAGGTGGGTATCTGTAAATAAAATAAATTAGATTAAATTTCTTTCTAATATTATTATTTAAATAAATATTAAAAAAAAAATGTTACTATGTTTCTTTTTAAAGACTGTCTGTAGCAAACTAAAATAAAAAAAAAAATAGTAAATATATTAAGCAAAAGTTTGGATAAATCACTTTCACTCTTTGATCTGTAGGTGATGTATTACCAGAGGGAGACTTTGTACAAAAGTCGTTTGATTGGACACCTCTGTTCCATTCGTGTTTCTACCGTGAAGCAGTTGTGTTTGCATGGCTGTGTTTCGGTTTGAAGGGATATAGCAATGAATTGACAGGATACAGAGGAATAACACCTGAGTCCTCAGGAATGGCAATGCATGGGGGGTATCATGGGTGAAACAGTATGTTATGTCCATGGTATTGTTCATGTTTTTAGGCGACAGTTACCACTTTCCATCAGGTGGACGTCAGCTTGTTCACCATTCTAAGTTTAATAAAAAAAATAAAAAATTTACCTGCAACCTAAAAATTCTATATTGGTGAATAACTGAGCCAATGTGATCAATTCTGCTTCTTCGAAATCATCTTTATGTTCCAACATGAAGTTACGGCGAACTTCCCATTGTTCGTCGGACTCGTGCTCTGTGCGCAATGATTCCACGTCTATTGAAGGTTTCATTATCTAAAAAAAGTTTCGTAAAAATGAAATTCGAAATTTGAATTTGCATAATGCTTAAAATTTGAAGCTTAGATTGTGAAGTATACATAGAACATTATACTAAATCTATGCCTTAAAATCATCATCTCCCTACCCTTATTTCAAGGGGGAGAGGTAGTAATGGGGATTACCAATCCCATTGCCAGCAATAAACTCTATCAGGTCGACCTCCTCGCGGTTCCCCCTGGAAACCATCTTGATTGGTTTATTGTTGAATACGTCACGATGGGCTAACTGACCTGCTTCATCCTCACCTATCATGCCTCACTGGTGCCCCGCCGGTGTATACCGATAGCACGGGTGGGGTTACTATTCCATTATCATCCATTAAAAAAAAAACCCTTATTTCAATTATTATTTGGGTTAATATGTCTACGTAATGTTTTTCGAGCTTTTTATACATGACACTGGCAGAAATAGTAATAAAAATGATGACCGATTACCACTAAATAAAAGAAAAGAAAATATTTGATTATAAAAATCTGTGACTTACTTTTTTTTGTAGACCGATTTGGTATTTTAAATTGAACTTCAAACTTACTCAATTCTGAGATCAATTGTTTATGTTAATTATTGTTATTTTTTAAAATAAAATATTGTCAAAATATCGTGTTTATTTATTTAAGTAAATTCGCATAATAAAATTTAACACGTGATATTAAATTATGAATTTCAATCATAATAAATACTTATGAATGTTGTGAATGCATCTGACATTTGTTTTTTTTTATCGATTTGCGTTTCATACTACTCATTAGAGAGAGACTACATTTAAAAATTTCATTCATGCTTTTCTTACTACATGTTTTCCATTTTTAACTTATTTAGTCAAAGAATCATCCGTTGAAATAGAAATAATATTTTGGTTATTCGTTATGATTATAACTTATTTATTTATTTTAATGCTTTATCGTAGTATTAAAATTTTGTCAATCTGCATATAACAGAATAACAATCCGTTAGTGTTACTAGTGCAATAATGGAATGTGTGCGATAAAGTCCGATAGTTTTGGAACTAAAATATATTTAAGTAAGGTACTAACCTTACATCCTCAATCAACATTTTAAATACTTTTAATCTCGAAAAATTAAAGAATTCCCATGAGATAGTTAAAAAACTAGTAATTTATACTGCTTAGTACACAACCTACTTAAGTAAACTTATTTTAACCTAAGTCAAAGAGTGAGAACGACACGTCATTTGTTAATTTTTGTCCAGTATTTTTAGACATAATAAATAGGTAGATAGGTACATTCATCGCTATATAGTAAACAGCAATAACAAAGACTACGTGGACAAAGTCGCTGACAGCTAGTTATTTATTATATTTTACAACTACATCTACTTTGTATTTTAATATTATTTACTAATTTGAATTAAACTTAATCTTATCAATTGTGACTCGAGAATAGTAGTAGAAATGTATTGATTAATTATAATAAACTAATTAACAATTAATTTTTTTGGTACATATTTTTTAATGGCAACAAAATATCGAGTAAAGTAATCCTACAAATTTTAAAAGCTACGAGAGACCAAAGATTTCGTTAGAGAGTCTCTAAACACTAGCGCCATTTTATTTAATTTTAGAAATCAACTTAATTTGATCAACTTATAAACATACGTTCTGTTCATTATTTGTTGTCAAACCTTTTTTTTATCGTTCTATTGAGTAATCTACAATTTGCTAATAATATTGGAGGTACACATAAATAAAGTGGTTAAAATGTAACAGAAAATGTCGTGATACGAAAATAAACCATTCTGTCGTCACAAATCAACGTACAGGTAAAATATTTTAATATAGAACAATATCGACATCTCTTTGTTACCTGTTTTGTATTGTTTACATTTTGCTTTTGTTGTAGTTTATAATTAACCATCGTTTTGGGATTGACACAGTTAGTTTTTGAAGAAACAACGTCTCGAAAATGGCGTTTTCACTGAGAAAAATGCTGTCCAATATTACGTACTTCAAAAAACCAGGCGAAGGCAGTAGTCCCGATGGGGACCGTCCAGCGGGGGCTAATCAACCTTCCACGTACGTATCATCATATGAAACCGATAATTTATCATTTGATCGACTTGAACCCGATTCCACGTCAAAACATTTCACTAACAGCTTAAAATTGTCCAATTCTATCGAAAATTACGCATCCAAAAAGGGATCTCTATCTGACACTGATGTTTTAGTAAGTATTGGGGCCCCAAAAAAGGACAGGAGGAAAGGGAAAAAATTGAAGTTGGACATAAAAAAAGCCAGTCAATCGATGACGGAAATAACATCTGATGACTCCAATAATGTCGAAAATACTCCAAAACACATTCTGCTGGATTGTAAGAGCGCCGATTTGTTCAGTCAACGCTTCAAAAGTTTAGATTTTAACAAGTCATTCGAGATATTCGATGACGATTTGTCAGATGAATCCAGTTACGAGGACAATTTCGAAATATTAACGACCTCTGAACACTCTAATTCTGATATATCAATCTTGTCTGAAAGCGACGTAGAATCGATAAAGATGTGTCGGAAAGTTGAACCTAGTGCAGACAACGAAAATATATTGGTTCCATCGACAACGCCAGAGTCGTTTGCAGACGTCGAGTTGGATAGGAATGAGGACAAACGAACCTCATTGTTACTAAACTATCAGATGAAACTCGAAAGGCTGGATTGTTTGTTGAAAAAGTTGCTAACAGAATTTCAATTTCACATCGAAGTCTCCAAGGTGTTCAACTATAGATCTGTTCTCACACCGCTCCCTGATACAGATGTTAGTAGGTTGCCCAAAATGCTTGGTGAAGTCACATACAATCTGAGCCATGATACCAGTCCTTCTGGCTCTTGGAACATCGTAATGGAGAAAGAAGACTCTATAACAAAATTCAAAGTGAAAACGCAGCTGCTGTCAATTAAGCATAATATAGATGAATTTGTCAACACATATTTGCAGAACAGAGAAGTGGAGAAGAAGCTTTTGGCCCACGAACGCAGGAGTTTGACATTTGATCTTCAAAAAGAGAAGAAAGAACCACAGAAACGTCTTCGTATCAACGACAAGAAGAAGTACAAGCATTTTGACTTCCCAGACTTGAGAGAAGCAATGCTCCACTTATTTGGCTCTGAAGAGAAAGATGACTCCATGTCCAGTATATCTGGTAACAATATAACCCAATTGCTAAGTGATTATGATGAAGCAGACATGTCTAAATGTATCTGCCGTTGTCGCTACCACAGATCTCCATCTACGCAGAGTGACTCCGGTGTCACCACGAAGAATGATAGATCACTATCGAGCCAGTCAATAAGTTCATCTATCGGCAACTTTAGTTTGGACTCGTCTACTTTAACAGCTTATTCCGAATCTCTAGACCAGATCATTAGCTACAACAGCTTCCAAGACACCAGTCTGTACAGTACGTTCCTGCAGAAAGCAGCAATTGAGCGTATCACCTTCTACGTACAAGTGCACAGTATCCAACTGAAATGTGAACCTGCAGAAGATGAATTTGAGTCCAAAAACACCATAAGCTTCTACTGTCCAGCTTGTAAGTCTGTGGAAAACGATGAGAACGGTCTACTCAAACATATTTTAAGCCAAATACACTGTGAAAAAATACATTTCTTATACAAAACTGCATACATCAAGAAGTGCGTATCGACTGGAAAGGAAATTCAACCCAGTACGGTGTTAAATCCCATGGTTATGTACCGAGATGATAATAAGATAGTCTGTTTCGGAGATGCAATGTACGCTTGCTCACTGTGCTTTGAGAATTTGATCATTGGAGAATCAGTTTTAATGGCTCATTGTGCAGAGTCTGCCCACGTGGAACGGAGGGAGAAGCTGTCAGAGATTTTAGATTAAGCGCGTTCATATTCAGAGTATTGTAATGTTGCAATTATCTGTCAATTTTGTCAATTATCTGTCAAAAACAATTGATAAATTCTTTTTATTTACATACATATATACATACATACATATCTGTCACGCCTGTCTCCCATTAGGGTAGGCAGAAACAATGGAACGCCAAATGCTTCGATTCAAACAGACCTTCTTTTTATTTATGATTGATTATTAAATAAGTGCTTTACTACCAAAACAAAACGTTAATCACAGAATGTGTTGCATGTAAATCCACTGTGAAAACTTTGCACCTACTTCACATTTTGGTTTGAACTATTTCAAATACTTTTTCGCAATGAAAATCCAAATTTTCCTTTGTGACTGCTTAATAAGTATGTTATTGTGTATAGTTAGTTGGCGGAGCACTTCTTCTTCTTCTTCTTTCTAAAAATATGGCTTCCACCGTAGAGAGCACTTTTTAAACAATCAACCAGAAACATTGACTATTCAATTGTTTTTGAGTATTAACAGACAATTGCGACGTTTCCATACTTGTTCGTGTTAGTTATGAACACTCATAAGTGCATGTCGCATGTGTTTGTCTTTATGTCCCTTATCATTTGTATTTAACTACTTGCTTAATTTTTTTTTTATTTATATTTCATTAACCTCGATCTACGGTATGAATTCGGTTTTATAATTATGCTATTTTTAATGTTAATTCATAACTTTATAAATACGTCTTCCATTTTGATTTAGCATTCCATTTTTACACAAATGATACGGGGCAAAGTGAAATGTTTAATTTGTAATAACTATTTGTATTAATTATTGTATATTAATCAACTTATTTAGTGTGATAGTTATAGTATACCAGTTATTGACACATAGCTTTTTTACACACAAGAAATAAGTTTTAGAATACCAAATCAAAGAATTCCATTTTATTTTCTACTATTTTTTTTCGTGGTTGTGATTAGTCTCATCATAAATTAAATTTATTTTTCAATTCTTTTTACAACCATAATGTTTTGATATATTTAATTAATAAACAAATTGGTACTATTACATTTTAGCAATATACTTACATTTGTTTGATAGAATTTATTGTTGTATCTTGACTACTTTCTGTTATTTATTTGCAAATTCTTGTTAAATCGAATATTTTTCTTGATACTGAAATTAAAATGTACAGGATCTCATTTACAAACATATTCATGAAGTGTCCTTTTTTGTTTGAAAAAAATAGCGACCAAATTCGATTGTGATTTTTAGCTGTAAAAAATTGTGTTACGTCACTTAGGTAAGCGTGCTTGAAAATTAATAATTTAAAAAATAAGTATTTTAAAATTAATTATTTTTTGAATTGAAATAATTGAATCAGTAGATATAAATAAAAAAAATCATAAGTTTTTTTTTTTGTGTAATATGGAGATGCTATTTTTAGAGAGATAATTTTTCAAGCACGCTTCCTTAATTTGTGTTCAGACTTTAACGTCACTGCCATAGTTAGAGTACCGTCTAATCCCCTTATTTATAAAAACGTAAACCTCTCATTTATATTATTTTAACTATTGTAATATTTTACCTCCTTTTTTTTACATTAGTTTCTCAATTTGTTAGACAGTGACAAAACATTGTAGTAATTAAAAATCATTTGTAAGACGTTTTAGTTTTTATGAGTAAAGGGGTAAAATATTGTGTTCATACAATAGAGTCCATTGTTAGCCGTTTTAGACAATACTAGGTCGAAACTTACCTTTTTGTCGAGTTCGCTTTCGCAGTCATAATATTGAAGTTTCTATGAAACTCGTGCTTTATAAAGTTAATGTGTGAATTCCCCTTAAATAAGAGAAAAATCAACTTAGTACCATTAAAAACAAAGCAGGGTTTTCCAAATTATCATTATCCATTTTGTTGATTGAAAAAATAGAACATTAATTTTGTATTTTCTTTTAGTCCAAAGGCTGGTCCCTAATGGCATTTTTACTTAAGTTATTGGCCAACAAATTGATTTCTTAGACAAAATTCTATTAAAAAACAGTAAAGAATATTCTGACGCCCAAGGCTAGATATTATGGGAATCTTAATTTTTTTTTCTAAAATTGTTATTTTGTCATAAAGAGCTGGACTCTATCATATCAGCTGTTATCTGTCCACTGCTTGTTCAGCCTCGCCTTATTGGGGGGGTTTTGTCAGTAGTTGCCACGCTTGGCAGGCATATTGGCAACCGCAATTAGGCTTTGGTGATGTTTAAAAAGGGATGTTACTGCCCATCTCTTGATCATTAAGTTTCCTCGATTACCAATTAATTTAAGATAGACATTATTTGATTTCTTCCAAAAAATTAGATTAGTAAACTTATTATAGATACAAACAATTGCAAGAAATGATCGCACTAAGAAATCAATGTGTGTGACCATGTAATATTGTCCAATGGTAAGGCAGTTTCGGTGATGGAAAATACAGTTTATATCCAAATTATTTCGAATGGCGTCAATAGTCTCGCCGTTTGCTATGCTGGATTTAAACGTATAAAATTACATACTTTACAGCAATCATGGTCAGCAAATGCCTCTCTCTGCCATAACAAGGATTGCAGTCATGAACACATAGTTAAGCTAACACATTAACAAAACAAAGCGCTCCATATTTCTGTGATACGGGTAAAAATCTATTTTATATTTAAAACAGTTTTTCACTAATAAAAATAAACGATCTCGTGCCTTTCTAAACTTACCGAGAGAGCGAACTCGACCGTTTTGAAAACAGGGTGTTTTACATTGTATCCAGTTTTAAATGTATTTAGCTCGAATAAGCTTAGCTTACACTGCGATATTTGATAAGATATAAGCTCATAATAATGCATTTCTCATCTTAAAGCAACATACTCGTATTTTACTTCCTTCTATAACTCACTCGTATTTATTCAAATTTATTTTTTGTAATATTTATTGGTCTTTGTTTTAATCAAGTATTTATCTCGTATTTTACGTTAAACTAAGACTGTCATTTTCCTGATCCTTTCAGCGTCTAATTGTTCCAACAACACTTTATTTTGTGATTATTTATTGAATCTATTTTTCAGTATTTTTTTAATAATTATTATGCAGATTAGATAGCAGACAACTATAATATACATCTAATCGGTAACTAAACATATCCAGGAATGCGCTAGATTTCAAGTAACAAGATAAGTTGCTGAACTAGAAATAATATACTCGTATAGTTTCAACTCTTATCTTTTCCTGTGTCAGTTTTTATCCTCGTTTATTTGGAATCGTAATTTAATATTTTTAATTTAATATCAACAGCTCATAAATCACAATAATATCTCGTTCAAATATTATGTAAAGTCGAAAGGAAATTTTTCAATCAACGTCAAAAAAGAAGATTCTGAATTCGGTTCTTAGATGTATTTATTTTTAAATTTGTTACCTCATAACTCCGTCAGTTGTAAACCGATTTGTAAAATTCTTTTTTATCTGAAAGATTACTTTCAGATTGGTACCATAGAAACTTTATCCAAATCGCTTTAGTAGTTTAGTTTTTAAATGAAATTAACACAGTTGAAGTCGGTGCATTCTTTTGTAAAACAAAATCTACCTATAGTTCATTGTCTCATATTCATAATGCAATTACTAGGTATAATAAGTAGCAGCAGGTGGAAAGTAAACGTAATATTGTTGAATTAATTTCTAAAAGTTTTCCCATTTCAGTTTGAAATAATAAAATTATTCTACAATCAATATTATTTTGATCTTCATTCTAAACTTCTAATATAGTTATATTTTTATAATCAAAAGTTATATTTTTATTTTTTTTCTAATATTCTATTTAATATTTTATTATTTTCTTTGCTTTCTTCTTTAGGTTAATTTAGTCATATTAATAAATAATATATTAAATATATACATCTTGTAATTTAAACATATGAAGTAATATATAGGTATATGAAGTAGCAAATAGTGAGAGGCAACTTTTAATATAATTTATAAATACTTGACTAAAATAATAGACTTCTAAATGTTTTAGACCACGATCTGAATAAATAGCTTAGATTGTATCGTAGCGTCTTAGACTATCTCTGTTTTCTAACTTTTTTTTCTGTTTATTACTTGACTACTTAATTATGACTGAATCTGTATTATTTGTAAAACTTTGTTCATTTTTTTATATATTTAAATATAATGGATTAATGGGAATTTAACGCATACCACATTTAGAGCTAAGCCATGCAAAATTAATTCCTTTTAGTTTAGCTTAGCGCATACCCAATTATGAGAGATAAGTAAAACTATGTAATCTATTTGGGTTTACACTGAAAATTACAGATAAATGAAGTATATAATAATGAGAATATTACTAGTAAACTATAACTATTCGTATGAGAGTCCTGCCTTTTGATGACAAGATTTTTTAGGCCTAGTTACAAGTGTAGGTCTTCTTTCATTTCATCGCAAAGAGCGGCTAATAACATAGCTGAAATTATAAGTTTATGTAACTCCCATAGTTTAGTTAGTTGTATTAGTTTAGCTCTGTAGTTTGACCGCAAACTACACTGGTAAGCTAAAGCATGGACACTGCACCTCCCCATTCTCTCCTATTCTTGTATTTTTTTCCACATAACTGTACTTACATGGCAATGTTACGGTGTGAAGGGCGTGATATGGCAGTGAAATTATGTATCGGATATGGGAATGTAATAAATCAGTTCTCGGGAATGTCATGGGCGTCACGAATCAGGAAGCCCATCTGCTTGTTTGCAATACTAAATATAAAAAAAAGCACTAAGTTGGGTTCTCTTGAGCTCTTAGTTAATTTGTCTTACGCTTTAATGTCGGAAACAATAAACAGTGAATGCGTTAAGTTTCCTTTAATCAATTATGTTTAAGTCCACATTAATTTGTAACTATTTGTAAATATAAATACAGTGATCTCACATCTGCAATAATTCAAAAGACTGATTTGATGCCACACAAAAAAGCCATCGGAACTGCCTATATTAAGTATTCTAAGTAATTATAGTCGATAATTGTTTTTTACTTTATAGATGTCAAAATTGAATGGCGGATTGAGAAACAAAAATATATTTAATTGTCGTAAAAATAGAATAAGAATAACTAAATCAATAGAGATTGCCAAGTTACACATAGATATATAAATAAAAGAATTTTGGTAATAAAATTGTAAACAAAATTATATTATTGTTTCTTGAAGCGCCGCAAACCATGTTGACCGCAAGTGGAACTCATTGAGAAAACTTTGACAGAAGAAAAAATAATAAAAAAAGCTATCAATTATTCTGTACATGATCTCTTTCTTATTTTGCGGTCAACAGCACTGTTATACAATTCATGGGCAATAGATGATGTTATTTAGACAAAATTTATAGGACACATGACTAATGTTTTTAATATAATTATAGTCATTCCATGTCAAGGGTATTATGAAATAAAAAAAAAATTATAAAAAAAAATCTTAGCTTACTATTATAATAAGGCATGTATCTCTCAAAGATTTCAATGGCTTGATATTAATTTTATGATACTTAAAACCGTTTATTTTTATAAGTAAACACTTAGCCCCCCCCCCCCCCTCCATTTTGAGCCATTGATTATCTTTATTATGATATAAGACATAAGTGTAAGAAATGATTTTTAATAAGAATAGAAACACATAAAAAAAAAAAAACTTAAAAACATATAGCAACAGGTATGAATTAAAATACTTTGATCACTCTTATGTTTGGTAATAATAAGGGTTAATATTGCAAAATAACAAATGCTAAGTCAATTTAGTAGCCGTTATCATTAAAGTTGAAATAAAATTAATGACAGATAATGGAAATGTTAAAACGCATTCATAGTATCAGCACTTTATTGAAAGAAACCTCACATTTATTAAAGTAGATATCATTTTAGCAGTATTGTATTTGAACTAAAAATAAATTGACATATTACGAAACATACCATAGGGTTACAAAATTATTATATTACACAAAAATGTATTTTACACTCATATATTGTAATTTTACACATAAAAAAGCAATGGTTTTTACACATAGGAAATACTTATGTTACACAAAAATAAACAATAAATTAGAATTTTTACACATAAAAAATAAACATGTTAAGTGAAAATGTAATTTACACACAAAAAATGGTACTTAATGCTTCTGTGATTTTTAATATTGATACGATTCAGAATTGTTGTTAAAATAGTTTTTAGCTAAAACACCGCGTGATGGCTTTGAAAAATACTTTTGGCCTTATTTCGAAAATCAGCGTACCATTCGTTATCTGGCCACTGTCAGGAACTGAATATAGGTCTCTCCCTTAGACTGCCATAAGCAACGTACCCGAGCTGTTTCACTCGTAACTCCATCGTGAGATCGTCACGCCATCTAGTGGGGATTAACGACCCCCACTAGATGGCGTGACGATTAAAAATGTACCTATAACATTGCAAATATCTTTATCTAAACCAACATTGAAAAAAGAAAAACATTTTTTTTTATTAGTAATCAAACTCGATGTAAAAAAATTCTTTCGCCTATAAAAAAAAAAACTACGTTAGCGAGTATCAAGGGGCATATTTCATTAAAAAAAAAATATAGAAATCCCCGCACTATCTACCCGTGCGGACGTTAATGTATTACAGTTTAACGTAAAAAAAGGCATTATTTATACATATAAGACATAGGCCTCTCCTGTAAGGAGGGTTTTGCCAGTAGTCGCCACCCTTGGCAAGTGCATTGGTAACCATAGTTAGGTTTTGGTAATGTTTTGAGAGGGACGCTGCTGTCCATCCCGCGTCTCACTTAGTCGCCTCTTATCCACGAGAAAGAAAGGGCCTATTCTATGCCGGGACCACACGGCTTGTCAAATGTGCTAATGCCATATTTTAAGCGGTATAATTTTTTTTATGGCTGACTATAGAGTGATAACTCCGCCCGTGCTATCGGTATACACCGGCGAGGCACCAGTGGAAGATGATAGGTGAGGATGAAGCAGGTCAGTTAGCCCATCGTGACGAATTCAACAAGAATTATTCACGATGGGTTCCAGGGGGAACCACGTGGAGTTCGACTTAATAGGGCATATTGCTAGCAATGAGGCTGTCAAACTCAATTGCTAACAATCCCTTTCCCGCCTAAGTCGGTACGTTATCATTCGTTACTAGGTGTACATAAACTCGTAAGAGTGTTACCATGCCAAGTTTTATACCAAGGCCAATCGATACCACGGGTGGTACTGCATTGCGTAACGATTCACAGGGTCCGATTTAGGGGCGAGTCGGGCGATTGCCCACAACGGCAAAATTGATGTTGAAAATGGCTGACGAAAAATGTGTTAAACACTCCGTCTACTTTTTAAGTGCCTTTTAAAAGAATATTCTCGATCATTTGAGATTTATTTGTAATGCCCACAGCCACCTTTTATCATCGCACCGCTTCCCATCGACAGGCATTTCATCTTTGTAAGCTTGAACCTAAATGGTTGCGTACAGTGCGGTTTCAGAGGAATTTCCTCCTACGAGCCCTCAGGTTATAGAATAAGTCCTCTGCCGAGGTTTTCCTCGCGACCTACATAATAATAGCATTTTTCAAAATGGGTGTATTAAGATTTCTTCATGGCCTTAAATACGCGCGTGATACCTCTAGTGTCGTAGTTTTGCACTTCTTTGGTAGCTCCTTAGATCTCTGTGTCCCCAATCGGTCTCTAGAAGATTGAAGACTCTTTTTTCGCGTAGCGAAATCAACCTTTCTTCTTAACCAACTTAAAAAAAGGTTCTCAATCCGGCTATACTTTTCTTACATTTATCACCTCATAATTCCGTCAGTTGTAAACCGATTTGGTAAATTCATTTTTTTTCCCGAAAGGATATACTTACAGATTGATACCTTAGACGTTTTATCAAAATCACACCATTAGTTTAATTTTTATCTCGAAATAACTGGTCTTGTCACAATCGAATATAGTTGTTTGTAGTTATGACTGCATGCAAAATTTAACGCTTAATTTTTTGCCCGGGAAGGCAACATACCTAAATCGGGCCCTGGCCACTCGTGGCACATAACAGCAGTGATATGCAGTCTCTATGCAGATATACAGTCTCACATGTCAACCACTCGAGATTGACACGTTATAAACAATAATATTGTTATAGATTTGCCCACTTGAACTGTTCGAATGGAATCTTCGAGCAAATAAGGCTCTCAAAGATTAATAACTCTATCAGTGTTATGGCAATGGGTTCGAGAAATCTTGAAAGATAAAACGTTATTTTTAAAGTCGATTGCACGAGGTTTTATTTTTCGTCATCGTTTTAACATCCATTAACTTGTCCACTGTTGAGTAAAGGGTTTTTTTTTCCAAAAAAGAGGGGTTTCCAAGTAGCTACCACGCTTGGCAGGTGTATCGAGAACCGTCAAACTTGATCGCCTCAGGGGGGAAAGGGATTGTTAGTAATGGAGACTGAGAATCCCATTGCTAGCAATATGACCCAATCAGATCCGCCTCCACGCGGTTCCCCCTGGAAACTATCATGGTTAATTCCTGATGAATTCATCATGATGGGCCAACTGGCCTGTTTTCATTCTCATCGATCACCCTTCACTGGTGCTCCGCCAGCGTATCCCGTTAGCGCAGACGGGGTTACCATACCATTTTCACCCATAAAAAAAAACTTGATCGCCTCTTACGACACCTAAGGGAAAGAAAGGAGTGGCCTATGTTATTCTATGTCTGGACCACACGGTGTATCGAAAATAAAATATTACGGATAAATAGTGCGGTAAATTTAATTTTTTTTTTCAAATAAAATTTGTCCATATTGCTCGCTGATATAATGCTTTCTATAGGTGAATGAATTTTTAAAACCGATCGTTACTAGCAAGAAATTAAAATTTACCGTTTTATACTTAGTTATAGTCTAATATAGTACGTATATATCAAATTTCATAGTGATCGGTTAAAACGTTAAGGCCCTATAAGGTATTAAACCAGCCAGCTTACTTTATTTTAAGATTAGACTTTTTTTTAATGTAACGTTTCTGAAAAGGAAAACCAATGACTTTTATTATATCAACCGTTACGTGTCCACTGCTGAACATAGGCCTTCCCATTTATGTGGGGCATTCTGCCAGTAATTGCAAATCTTGACAGGCAAGTCGGCAACCGCAATTTATCTTTGGTAATGTTTTAAGATGGACGCTGCTGCCCCTCCTTCAAGCGTTAAATTCCCTTAGTCGCCTCTTACGACACCAATGGGATTAGCAGTGGCCCATTTATGCAGAGATCACACGGCGAAAACCAATTATTGTATCAAATTAATTTTACCATGTACATAATATTATTTCCCGCCATGTTTGATAAAAGTTTATATAATATTTCCCGCCATATTTGAAAAAGTTTAAATAATATTTCCCGCCATGTTTGATATAAGTTTAAATAATGTTATTTCGCGCCATCTTTGAAAAAGTTTAACGCAAAAAGTATTTTAAAAAGTTACCACGCTCAAGGCCGTTAATTCTCTATCTGTGATCCATAAAACGTGTTCATATCATAAAAAAAATATATATCACAATATTAGTTATTTTGATAGTTATTTACGTCTTCCTCACTTCTAAAAGAAGGGAGGGTCTCAATTGGATTGAATTTTTTTTATGTTTGTCATCTTATAACTCCCGTCAGTTGTAAACCGATTTGGAAAATTCTTTTTTTTTTATCTGAAAGCATATACTTACAGATACGTCGTATAGAGATTTTATAAAAAATTGCTTCTGTATTTTAGTTTTTAAATCAATATAATTTATTTTGTCACATTTGAAATTGTTTTTTTTTTGTTGAACAATTATTTAAAATTTAAGTTTTTTATTTGTTTTTATTCGAGTAGATTTACATAAATGTTTTTTAAAACATTATTTCTCATCGTGATTCTGCTGTATTTTTGGTATTCACAAAAAAAAAGAAAAAAGCCAACAGTTAAACTTTTTTTTTAAACAGTAGTAGTTTAATTTATCCCACTCAAGGAAAGGCAAAGGTACTAAGTCATATTTTTTTTTAAACAATATTGGATTCAAAAACACTATATAACTATTATTGTGATATTTAAATATTGATAATTTTGTCTGTTATAACGCATCACCTAAATTCAAACTGGTTTTTGACTAATTAAAATTGTGCAGTTTGGAATTTTGTTGTTTCATTATAGACTGTTTTTCACCCATTAACCCTCGATCCCTTTTCTACCAACTTTACTCTCAAAGTCACGCTTCTTCTCGACTCTTTCCTCTTTACTGTAGGTAGCGTGACGAATTTAAAGATGAATTAATCACGATGGTTTCCAGGGGAAACCGCGTGGAGATCTTTACCCCGCCCGCGCTATTGGTATACACCGACGAAGCACCAGTGGCAGATGATAGGTTAGAATGAATACAGGTCAGTTGGCCCACCATGATGAATTCGACAAGAAATAAACATGATGGTTTCCAGGGGGAACCGCGTGGAGGTCAAGCTGAGAGGGTGTATTGCCAGTAATGGGGCTATTAGACCCCATTACTAACAATCCCTTTCCCCCCTAACCGCGTGATCGTTACACTATCGGTATATCCTGGCGGGGCACCAGCGAGTGATGATAGGTGAGGACGAAGCTGCTTAGATAGCAGATTGTGACAAATACACCTGGAATTTAGCATTTATGGTTTACAAGGAGGACCACGGGGAAGTCGACCTGACAGAATATATTGCTAACAATGCGAATAGGGTATATTGCTATTAATGGTTTCTTGTGTGGACCATGTGAACGTTGACCAGGCTGGGTATATTATATTATCTGCTTTTTTTTTATACAACTTAGAATGGCAAACAAGCTAACGGCCCACCTGATGGAAAGTGGTAATTAGGAAACTAGTCTACTTAAGCGTGAGTCCTATTTATTATTAACTTTTTATTGTTAGGGTAATGGGTACTGGCAGCCCCATGATTAATAACACATTTGACTTTGTACAAAAGTCGTTTGCTTGGGTACCTCTGTCCCATTCGTGTTTCAACCGTGAAGCAGTTGTGTTTGCACAGCTGTGTTTCGGTTTGAAGGGTGCGATATGGCAGTGAATTTACAGGGTGCACAGGAATAACACCTGAGTCCTCTAACTAGTTCTATTCCAGACTTTTTGTTAGATACCATATTTATTAATAGAGGTACACATTTATAGGTACAAATTTATTTTGTAAATGTTTATTAAAAAAAAAATAAATAATTTTAAATATTTCTTGCTTATTTAAAAATATACCCAAATCTCATAATGATATAAATTCAAAGCTTCAGCCATTACAAAGCATTGTTCTTGTTTAATTCTTTAAAAATATTCCAACAAGGTCTTCGGAAGGGTGATTTATGTATTTCTATTATTCTCTCTATATTACCATAGTTCTGACATATATTTAAATGTTTCTCTGCTTGTAGAAAAGCCAACAACAATCTACCAAAATGCTTATCATTAGAACAAATATGGCCGCATTGCAAGATATGATCCAAAATAAATGTTTGTATTCTATCTGTCTTTTCAGAGTTTTTATATGCTGTGTATATACTGAAAATATTGTTTATAAACTCCTCTGTTCTTAATTCAAAATTTGAAATGTCCAACAATAATTTTGTTTGTTCTGTTTCGTCTATGGACGAAATAAAGTCTTGAAAAAATAAATTTGGTATCTCTGGATCCTTTAGAATGGTGCAGAGTAGTGTTTTAAACAATACAGGATATTTGGCATGAGCTCTGACGAGTATGTCTAATGAAATACAACTGTGCTCGCGTTTCAAATAAGCAGGTACAAAATATTTATGAAATATTTCTAGGAATGCAGAATTAATATTTTCATTTTCATAAATATGCTTACATATTTTCTCAACTGAAAATGTTGTTAATTTTTGTGCCAGTTTCGTTAACAAGACATTATCTTTCAAGCATTCTTCCACTAAACTATTGAATTGTAAAATCGGATCGTTTTCTACGGCTTCGAGAAAATCCTCGAAATGTTTTTCGTTAGAGTCGATTTTATTTTTTTCTATTTCAAGCGGACAGTCCTCAGGGTCGGGAGTCTTTGATTTTTTTTCTACACGGTCGTTAGTTTTTGGAGATAAAATATTTTCATCATTACAGCACGGTGCGATAAGTTTGTGTCCAAATCTTCTGAACCATTTATTGTTGTCGTTCGGCCGCGGAGCTAACGCGATGCATTTAAGAACTTCATCTTCTGATAGCGGATGAAATGTCCAAATATCGGACATTATTTATTTATAATTCAGGTTATTATTATTTCTATTTTCAAAAATAATAAAAATTCAAAATTTGAGAGTATAAAATTAATAAATGTCATTTTGAAATTGTCACGTGAACTCCCGTTGAGTAGGGATGTTCATAAAAGTATAGTCCATAGATTAAGGATAATCAAGAGTACTGTTTATTTCACCAAATGACCGATTATAAATAGATTTACTATCGCTTAAACATCTAGTTGTTAATCAGACTTAAGACAGAATAGATTAGATCCAGATAAGGTGTCATTTTTATATTTTTTTTTGTATAATATTAACCTTTTTGTATCTATTATTATTAAGTTACAGTTGAAAAAGTAAAATTGATGTAACAAATATCAGAAATAAGGACATAACTAATAATTATAAGCAGGTAATATCTTAAGAGCAGCACCAGAGGGGGACTTTGTACAAAAGTCGATTGCTTGGCCACTTTTGTCCCATTCGTATTTCAACCGTATAGCAGTTGTGTTTGCATGGCTGTGTTTCGGTTTGAAGGGTGGGATATGGCATGAATTTACAGGATACAGAGGAATAACATCTGTCCTCAGGAATGGCAATGCATGGGGGGTATCATGGGCGTAACAGTATACTCTGTTATGTGCATGGTACTGCTCATGTCTATAGGCGACGGTTACCACTTTTCATCAGGTGGGCCGTCAGCTTGTTTGCCATTCTAAGTTGTATGAAAAAAAAAATCCCGTTTATACAACTGGACAGATTTCAAGGGAAATGAGTATATAGGTTTTTTTATGGGTAAAAATTGAACAATAGCCCAGTCTGCGCTATCGGTGTATACTGGCGTGGCACCAGTGAGGGATGATAGATGAGAATGAAAGCAGGTCAGTCGCCCGTGCAGAATTTCACCTGAATTACCCACGATGGCTTCCAGGAGAAACCATGTGGAGGTTTACCTGATCAATAATATTGTTAGTAGTGAGATTTTAGTACTCGTTACTTACAACCCCTCTCCCCCAATATACAGATAGGGGTTTTCAATGAATGATAATGGAATAGTATTCCCACCTGTGCTAACGGTATACCCTGGCGGGGCACCAGTAAGGGGTGACAGGTAAGAATGAAAAGGTAGGCCAGTTAGACCACCATGATGAATACACCTGTATTTCAGCACGATGGTGTGGGATGGTGAGTGGATGATGATGATGATGAGGATCAGGATGGAGGTCGACCTGACAGGGTATATTGCTAGCAATGCGACTCGTATTCTGCATTACTAATAACCCCTGCCCCCAATGTACAGATAGGTTGTCTCCCAACTTAAGACATAGGTGCCTATGTATTGTACTACGTGGACAATGCCGCCGGTAACAGTTAGTGGGTGATAGTGAGCAATACCTATATATATAATATAATTTCTATTACATACGACATATAATTATAATAAAACATAATAAAAGCATAATATTATCATGTATTATTAGTTTAAAGGTGAGATTTAAATTGTTTTCTTGAAAAAAATTCTAAGTTGTATAAAAAAAAAAAAAAAAACTCTGCATAAAAAATATTACTTTTAACAAATGTATAGCTGTTTTACTTAAGTGAATTCTATAAAATCGCATAATAATTGTACTAAACACATAATAATAAAGCTGAAATTAATAAAACTGCATAATACATTTGTAATTCCATTATATTTTATAATCTACATGTTCTTATATATTGTCTGTGAGAGTAGTGCATAAGCCTACCAAATGTTATAATATATCTCTCTCTCTCTTTCTCTATATTTGTTTATTATATTGTTTACTATATATAAATATATCTCTATAATTCTTTACTATGAAAAAAAAAAAACAGGATATATTTTATATTTTATTTACATGTTTTTTACATGTTATAGTATTTTAGTATATATTCATGTAAAATTAAATTTACAAAATGCAGTCAAAAAAACTATTATATTTTAAAATCGTAAAAAGAACTTACCTATTTAAAATCATTTTGAACAATTGTTGCACAGTGATTTTAAAACTCGAAGAAATGTTTTAAAAAGTAAAATATTTGTTACATTCATCATGAATCGTTCAAGTGTGAACCATTCTAAATAAGTTTAGTTGATATATAAAAACTATATGTACCAAATGATAATTTTATATCACGTTTAACGGTGTTACATCACTCGGTTTAGCATATCTGGGTTAATATAAAAAAAAAAATTGTTACAATTATAACAATAGTTTAATTAATTTAAGATTATTAATTTAAATTAAAACAATAAACTAGTTTAATGATTAATAAAACAAGATTGCTGTTTTATACCTAAAGTAACATATTTATTAACATATTTATAGTATATATATACCCTAAATACAAAACATTGTCTAATAATACAATAACCAAATAGTTAAATATCTAATGATTTTGCAATATCGATGCCAATTATAAACTTAAGTATTTTGCTCAGTTACCAAAAGACGGTAATTAGTTAAAATTAACTTACAGACTCAACGACAGTCTATTATTTTCTCTTGGTATCATAATTCTTGGTCGATTTATTAAATTTACTTGTAAATGCAATCTTTCTAATGCGTTACCATCCAATATTGCTTGGCATGGTGCTTTATACACCGTTCCATGGTCGTTAACCAATTTCTTAATGCTCAAAAGATTCGTGGCGTTTGTGTGCAGTTCTTTTAATACGGAAAGTAATAGTTTACCATAGTTTTTATTGCGGGCGCAATATTTGGACGTAAGTATCATGTTGTCCAGTATAAAGTGCAATATGGCATTCGTCTTTATGCATCCGTCAAATAAATAATAAATGCCTAATAGATTATGCGCGAACTCTTCTTTGGTGAAGTTGATATCGCTAAATATCTCCATTATTTCCGTTTTTCTCTCCATGTCTATAATTTTTGCGTAATCAACGAGAAATTGATTCGTCACGTCCAGATCTTTGACCAACCATTCAATTAATATGTAGAACTCACCAGTATAAATTACAGATGATTTAATCATCAAGTCCATTGTAAACCAATTATATTTTCTCTTCAAAAGTGTTATGAGGAAATAATTGTGGAATACATCTAGAAATTCCTCGTCGAATTCTTTAACGTCGTATATGTATCCACACAGTTTTATTATGCTTTGCACGGATATGTTTTTGGCTATCAGAACGCACGCGATGTTATTCTTCAAGCTTTCATTATGGAAATAATGGAAATTTTTTATCGGATCCTTGTCAATTGCTTTCCAGAGGGGTTCGAATATCGCTTCATCAATCTGATCGTCCATTATGTTGTCCAAGTTCTCATCAGAGACGGTGTTTACGCTGACAATTTGTGCCTCTATATGATTATTTCGATTCCACACTTCCTCGCTGAGTAGATAGCTAAAATTTACTTCCCTATTAGCTATTGTTGTTATCAGCGGTATCCCGTCATAATGTGGACTTTGTTCAGACGTACCAGGTTTGGATTCTCTCGTTTCAACGTTACAATCCATAATGCGTTATTTTTAATCACACGCTTTACACAATTAAATATATAATAGTTTCATATAACTATTATTATGTAAATATTGCACTGAATGTGTAGAATTTAGATGGTATATAAATTATAATTTTGTATTCCCAAAGAGGGTTGACGTCAGGCAGGCGGCCGGTCGTAAAACTATAAGTTAAATCCTTTTGTAATATGGATAAAACCATATTACGCCGACCACAAATAATAATTGGGATTAGGGTAGGGAGATGATGATGAATAATTATAATTTTGTAGGTATACGTAAAAATTATTGGGCAATGTTATTTCGAAGGCGGTCTGTGTATTAAAATGATTGGTTACTAAACAAAATTGGGCACGCAGTACTAGATGGCGCTAGAATCGAGACCGTGATTTGTTTTGTTGATTATACTGTAATTAAAGATAGTTTGAGGCGAAATTTTGAAATTGGGGAATGGTTTTATATATTTTTATCATCCTAATAATTTATTATAATTTGTATATAAATTATAATTTGTTTATAATAAAGTAATATGTAAAATGAACTACATTTACATATTTATTCTTTATTGCACTTGAACAATACATACAGCGATTAGTTTAACAACTTGTTAGCCAGGGACGATATTATGTATATATATATAAGTTAAATCTTGGGAATCTTCCAGACAACCTTAACCGCAAAGGAAAATGCAAATTTTCATATTAAAAAAAAATAATCTGAAATCTATATGGGAGTTGATTGAGTGAAAAAAATTAACATATTTAAAATTGTGTTTTACAAAAATTTTTATTTACAAAGTAACCTATTGTACCAATCTTGACAAAATTTCCAAGGAAATCATGTGGATGTCATTCTTTCAGATAAAAAACAATTCCCAAATCGGTTTTCAACTGATATTATGGCGTTATCAGGTGACAAATGTAAAAATATTTTGATTTTGATAAAAATTATGGGACCAATTTGTAATATATATCCTTTTGGATAAAAAAAAAAGAATTTTTCAAATCGGTTTACAATTAACAGAGTTATAAGGCAACGTTCATAATAAAATACAATCAAATTTAAAGTATTTACTTCTTTATTATGTTGGTTGAAAATCTGTTCAGATTACCAGAGGGAGACTTTGTACAAAAGTCGATTGCTTGGGTACCTCTGTCCCATTCGTGTTTCAATCGTGAAGCAGCTGTGTTTGCATGACTGTGTTTCGATTTGAAGGGTGGGATATGGCGTGAATTTACTGGGTACAGAGGAATAACACCTGAGTCCTCAGGAATGGTAACGCATGGGGTATATCATGGGCGAAATTGATACTGCTCATGTCTATAGACGACGGTTACCACTTTCCATCAGGTGGGCCGTCAGCTTGTTTGCCATTCTAAGTTGTATAAAAAAAAGACTGGTCACCTGGATTTGAAAACTTCTATTTTTATTGATAATATAGCTTCCTATAGGTGAAAAATTTAAAAAAAATGAGTTATTTTTCAGTTTAACCACCATATAGAAACAGTGAAATCTTTCTTCTTCATAGTTTTTGTTTAATAAATGAGAATGGTATAGTATCCCCACCTGCGCTAACGGTATACCCTGGCGGGGCACCAGTGACGGATGACAGGTGAGGATGAAATGGC